ATGACCACACACACACACACACACACACACACACACACACACACACAAACAAACAAAAAAAGAAAGGAAAAGAAAAACTGCTTCTAGAGTACTGATCTATCGTCTTGGTGTTGGGAATTGCCCGGCCGTACGTCATTCGAAAAAACTCACGTGGTGTTGGGAATTGCCCGGCCGTACGTCATCCGAAAAAACTTACGTAGCACTTCCGGATTGCTGTTTCCAGCCTTGGATACGGTTACGAAAAGTAGAGTTCGCATGCCAACCAGCAGAAAAGAAGTAGCGACGCAAAACTCCCATGGCCGAGGGAAAAAACGGAACTCTTACCAGCACTCTAACGAGCCAACCGCGGAGGCTACGTAGACAGAGGAGTTTCGGAGAGCAACGCCTCCGCTGCAGTTCGACGGCGCCTTAAAAAAGAAATGAGTAACCACCGAAGCTTTTCGGTGCGGGCGTCCACGTGTTGGCTACCTATTGCCTGATCTGATATCTTTCCGTGAAGGCAAGCGCGGGCGTCTGCGTTTGCGGGGGATGTCCACCATTCCCGGCCTTGAGTGTATGTACGGTAAGGGCCTAGCTGCGCCACTCGTCGTCCGCCAACATTTTCAATCAATGCGTCTGGGCATCATGGTTGTCCAGATGCATTGAAAATTTTGGCGGACGGGGAGTGGTGCAACTAGTAGCTAAACTACAAGCCTCAGAGAAGGGATAGAAACGAATAGTAGCGCGGTGGCCGTGCGCCCCAACGCTCGAAGTAAAGTGGTGAGCGAGGCCAGACTCTAGTCTTTCCCCGCCTTTTCCTGTTTTCATCTCCCCGCGCTCTCCTCGTTCTCATCTCCCCGCGCTCTCCCTGTTCGTTCTCATCTCCCTGCCCTTGCTGTTTTCGTCAGCCAGCCCACGTCACGCGCGCGTGTTGACTAAACAACCGGTCTGGTCTGGTCGAGGCAGAAGGACTTACAGGGGTGCGCAGAGACGGCATACGGAGCATGCAGGGATGACTAAGTGCGGCTAGCGAGGGAATGAGCAGCAAGGGCAACGAGAAACTGCAGAGGCGCCATCTCGCGCTGTGGTAGGGAGGCGTGGGAAGTGTAGGGGGGGGAAAGGAAGAGGAAGTCGGAGATGTCGAGAGACGGTGCTGTATATTTAATTACGAGTGTTTGATAGGCGAGGAGTCGTAGTTGGCGTCCCAGGGGCAGTCGATGGCTTGACAGGTGGTCTGTCGGCCATGCGCCCACGAGTCTCGAACGTGTCAGAGAGAACGAGCCCAGCCAACGCTTTCGAGATGAGTCTCGAACGAGCCTAGCCAACGCTTTCGAGTGACTGCAAGTGCGAGTCCTGTGGAAACGCTAGGGATGGAGAATGTACCGCCGAATTAGGTAGAGGAAGGTTAGTGGGTGTTCATGCAGCTTGAACTGAGTGTTCTCGGTTCCGTCTGCACGGCGTCACCTTATGAGGTCGGTCTTCTCGCACTTCTGTTCGGAATTGCATACTGATGACCAATGGCCACAATGAAGATGCATCGCAGGAAAGCTGTGTAGATGCGCAATCCCTTCAATCTGTGATCCTATAATGCATTTAGTTTAAAGGTACATATTTGTGTGTGTGTGTGTGTGTGTGTGTGCTGTCTCTTATACACATCTAGATGTGTATAAGAGACAGCTCTGTAGACTCTGATCAGTCAAGTTTAGCGATT